ATAAATTATGATCTTATTTTGAAATCTTGGAAAAATTCCAATATATCAGTACAGCTTAACCATTTATGTTTAGTTATAATTTTTCATCTATGTTGATTGTGATGACAAGAAAGACCAGTTCTTGATAAAAACATTTCCTATATTAAAATGTGTTTCTAATTTATTTTTAAAATTTGAGGCTTCATAATCTTTAAAAACAAGGCTATTGTCATACAAACCATGATTTTATAGCTCTGAGGACAGTATAAAATAAAAATCCACTATTCAAAGTAAACAAGGTAGGTTTTAAAAAGAAACTAACCATAAGCAGAAGCTTCAAAATATTTAAATTAAACAGAAATAAAGATAAAGTCTTTTGAGTTGAGCTCAGCTCCAAATGACAGGCATGTCCCGATGTAAGTTTTTCTGTTCACAACAGTTAAGGAGTAGTTTCCCTCTGCTTTATTTCCCTGTTGAATCTGCTTCTCAGGCTAGCAATATTCTGGTGTTGCCAGATGGTGTTCCATGACTAGATCAAACCTACTTACTAATCTAGTATACGAGATTAGGTAGGTAGTACCATTTAGTACCATTAAATCTTGATACAACCAAAATCCAGGTGAGCTAGAAGGCTTGATAGCATTAAAAGGTCTCGAGAGACTGTTCAGTTGGTCTTTCCTAAAGAATGTTTCATAATGAGATTCTAATATTAAATGTAGGGAGTAAACATAACTTTAGCCATTGTCTAGCAGGATAAAGGCTTCTTCCGCATGTTTCCAACCAATATAGTCCTGAGCTTTCTTTTGCCAATTGGGCCCTCAATACTTGCTGATGTTGTCGATCCATCTTGTTTTAAGTTTCTTTTGTGGACACTTTATCTTTTTTTTTTTTTTATTTTACAAACATTCCATCTTTTCTTTATACAGTGTGTCATCTGGGTACAAATGTCTCGTGCATAATATTTGTGGTTAATACAATTTCCTTACCATAACAACAACAATTACATTCTTATTTTGAACTAATATACATAATATATCTTATCATTTTAACCTTCCCCTTTTTAATTCCTTCCTCTCTATATTCATATACACCCTATATATCTCTCTTCAATGTTCATATATTTAATTTCTAATTTCTATTTTTCTTTTCCAACCATTGATAAAATAATTCCCATGTCATATAATCAGATTGTTATTTTCTTTTAATTGCCAGTGTTATAATCTATTCATTTCTGCACATTCTAATATTTTCCTAATCACATTATCTTCTATCAGAATCTTCACTTCCAGTTTTGAGCAAATACTATTCTATCTGTAGTTGATACATGAATAATTAGATATGTCTTTTCTTTACTATAACTTTCTGGTATCCCTAACAAAAAAAAATATCAGGTTTTAGGTCTATATGTTGTTTTATCATCTTTTCCAACCACGTGTATTTTTGTCCAATATCTCTTAGCTTCAGTGCATGATCACCACGTGGTAATATGTTCCAGGTGTCTGGTGACATTTCCAACATTTAGCTGATTTATCTTTAAACATCTTTGCTAGTCTTGCCAATGCAAAATGCCATCTGTAAAACATTTTATATAAATTTTCTTTATATGCTGTTGACATCGTTAATTTATAATTTCTGTCCCATAGTTTCTGCCATTTATCTAATTCTTATCGCATAGCCAATTTTTTTTGCCCATGCTATTGTCTCTCACTTGCTCTGCTTCCTATTTAACACCCAATAAGTAGTTATACAGTTTTTCTCTGATGTACTGCTGTGAGAGTCCAGGACAGGGAAAACTCTGCCTCCTTCGCCTTGGGACTGAGTCTGCCAAGCTGTTTAGACCTGCCTCTGTTGCCATGGTTACCCAGCTTTCAATTCAGTCCCTTGTCGGAGTTGCATGTGTGTGAGCTGTCGCAGAGCATAACAGCGAATTCAAGTCTTAAACCAAACTTCTGGTCCATTTCATCTGTGTTGGACTTTGAATCCTGCTCCCGGGGATCTGGTAGAACAAGCACTGTTACAAAAGGGGTTGGGAATTGGATCTCTCCCCCGCCTCTGCTCCAGGAGTGATTCCAGGGCCGGTGCTTCAGCTCCCAGCGCTGCGGGCACTACAGTGGGCATCAAAAACTAAGTTATCCCAGCAAGCCCGGGCTAGTGCTTATGATTGGGGCTAATTGATTCCAGGCAAGCTTATTTCCAAACTAACGGCGCAAGGAGCCCTGCGCCACCAGGAAGTCTTACACCAGCTTAGTGCCAATCAGCCAGTCAATTTCAGCAGTAGAGCAGTGCAAAGGACTAATTTATTTGAGTCTCCCGCCCTTTGGCAAACAAGGGCTATTTGAAAAGGCCTCACAGCGGGGTTTGTTTAGCTCGCCTGGCCATATTCGGGGGAGATGAGGCTAAAGAGGCAGCCCCATTCAATTAGCTTCATTGGGCCAGTGTAATTCAAAACAGGGCACACGAGATCTGTCGGCCAAATCAGGTTGCAAAGAGGCCCTATCCCCTAGCATCTCACAGGCCAAGGCCCATTCATCAACTCAGGAGGAGGAGGCCAAGATTCAAGCCAAGGCTGTCGCAAAGAAGAAAAAGACCAAAACGGGAAAAAGTTGAGAAGACATGAGGCCCTGGAACAGCAGTTTGCCAAGGGTCTGGAACAGAGAGAGGGGTGGGGCCAACCATCACCCCATTCTGGTGGTTTGTAGGACTCCTGCCATAATGTAGCCAGATCAGAATCAGAACTGGGTGTATTCCAACTTCCCCAGACTTGGTCACCAGATGGGGCTGGTGAGTCAAATTCTTCCATACCACAGGATCTTAGCAAAGTAGGCCCTAGCAACAGGCCTGCTGCTTGGGCAGAACCTTCTACTTGCTGGAATCAGCCAAATATATGGCCGAAGCCAACAATTGAGGCCACTTTTACTCCAACTGCTGCAGACCTTCATCCTGGAGGTTACCCATGAACAGATGTCCCAGACCACATGAAAAATGTGCCTGTAGCCATTAGGCAGGGGATTGTTGATATTCAACAAATCTTAGGACCTACTGGGTTAGCACCTGGACTAGTCAGAGCCCCTGTGCAAGCCTTCCCTCAAGAGGAAGGCCCATCTGGGAGGGCAGATTATACTAGAACCCCTGTGCAGGCCTTAACCTCTTTCCACAGTGAATGTCTGGACTACCAGGAAGCTCGTTCCATGGGTCAATCCGAACACAGCTATTCTGGTTCAGAAGAGGAAGGGGAAGTGAGGGATTCTAATCTATCTGAAGATGAACAGAAAAACTTACATCGGGACAACTAGTGTTCATGTGTTTATTTAAAAGCACATTGTTCAAATCCCTTTTGTATAAGGACAAGAACACGGGCCATCTAGCACTGAATGAGGCCACTACAGAACCTTCCTCAGACTTACAGTCCTTCAATCTATGAGAGGTATTACCATTGCCCAAGCTTTTCCTCAATGTGGTACTTAAGCAATGCACCTCTCCAGGTTCTAGTCCTAACCCTACCTCAAACAACAAAAGGTTTTATAATGTGGGTCCAAATTTGGCCAAGGCCTTACAAATGCCCACTGTAGATTCTCCTGTAGATTCTCCTGTAGCTATTTCAGGAATTCCTACAGAGCCAGAAGACGTGCTGAAAGGCGGTCTGAGCAGACTCTGCAGAGGACCCATCAGGCAGCTGCC